ATTTAAAAAAATTTTCGGACAAATCTTGCCCGAGCTGTACATGGAAATAGCCAATTCGAAAACATTGCCAAATTCAAATGATGTATTCAAAATAACTGGGAGAGCAATTAGAACGAAGAATTATTATAAAACTCTCAAAATCTTTGCCAAACAGAATGATGTTATGCTGTTATTAAATGTAAAGTAGAAGCTAGAAGATATTAACCGTTTCTAGTCAGATCCATTTTAACTCGAAATCCAAAATAGTTTTTCTGACGTATAGTATTTTCATTTTGTATAACGTACTTCGCTTTAAACATGTAAAATTAAATTTTGTGAATCATGCAACAGTACAGGGTTGGGGAAAATAGATTTTTTAAATAATAAATACGCTATAAATATTTTTGTCTTCTCATGTGATACAGAATTTGGAAAATAAACTTTCTTTTAAAATAGTAGTCACGCATGGAAATAGCATTGCAAATATCTATCTTAATGGTAGCAGATGGAAATATTATTCCGAATTAAATATTTCATTAAAATATAAACAAAATAATATTTCATCAAGTGGTAATGTTTCACAAAACAGTATTTAGAATAATGGTATTCCAAGTAAATTGTATTGCAAATAAGACTTTTTTATCCTTTAACTTTTCAATGTACCATGTACCTACCTTTACCGACAATGTAAATTCATTTTGTTTATAAGTGACCGATAATAGTATCGTTAACGTAAGACGTTTATTTTCTGGGTAAATAACTGAAAACATCATAGAAGAATAATTTCAAACGTGCTATCTTTGAATAAATATTGTTGACGTATTTTAGGAATTTCGGTATTATATATTCGAAATTTCGGTACTATATTTTCGAAGTAGATTTTTAATTGTAGAGTATTTCTTTAAAAAGTAGAAGTGATTATCATTGAGACAATGAAATAGTTTCATTACGATCGAGTGCACACTATTTATTTGCTGACGTAGATGATTGACAAAAATATAACTATCATTTTATAGGATTATTTATAATATTATTCACGAATTTCTGTCATCATGTTTTTCAAGGCACCTCTTCCAGAAACGTTACTGTACCTATGAATCGTAATAAACTACGTGAAAATGTCAAACAATTTCCAGAAACTATTAAATAAAACTTTATATATATATATATAAATATAAACTTGTAAACAATATAAACTTGTCAAATAACAATATTTACTCCGGGTCCAAATGGATCCGGGCCTCGCAGTTCGAGTGTTAAGCATTAAATATCTGTAGGAGTAGGGTGCGGGAGCGTGATGCACAACTGGTAATATTTCAATAAAAATGTATTACTGAAAATGGATAAGAATTGCAAACACTTTATGGTCGCACAAATCGCTAGATCGTTTTTATGGGTGGTATATCGCTCTATTGGTGTATCGCTTTATCGTTGCATCGTATCGCTATTTCGTAAAAGACGTTAAAAACTCTTTGTCGCAGTTCAACGTTCGTCATTTTTATACGCACCTTCCGTTTTGANAAGAATGGGCACAGTAATTGATAACACTTACCCTATATAGCTACATAGCTACAATAACTGATGTGTAAGTACTAATATTAATCCTTTGCACTCGAAGCCATTTTAAGTATAAATCTAAAATAATTTTTCTAACTTATATTATGACCATTTTCTATGACAAAGTGCACTTTATGCATATGAAATTGAGTCTAAAAAGTATTAGGACACTCGCAAAAAATGGGATCAATTTGAGAAACTTACAGGAAATTATTATATTTATAAAACTTATTTCCTATAAGTTTCTCAAATTGATTTCATTTTTTGCGAGTGTCCTAATACTTTTGGGGAGGTGTGTAGGTAAACTCATAAATGTACCTCACTCGAATTTGTTGCATACCAGTTGTCTTACATGATATTGTAGCTTAACGGATTAACACAT